ATGTCCTCTTGACGTTAATTGCAGTAATCTGAACTGGTTTTTCCACAAAAAGATGCACTAAAAGACAGAGAGAGAGAGGCAGAAAGAGAGAGAGAGAGAGAGAGAGAGACTGAGCGTGACAGTGTTGTACGTCACCGAGTCAGGGTTGCAGTGACGTCACTTTGTCTGAGTCGTGTCTCAGAGAGCAGGTCGTTTCAAAGACATCCCCCTCTCTTCCTCCTTTCAAAAAACGTCCCCCTCACTTCTTCCTCCCACTCACCAGCCTCATCCTTTCAACAACAATCCTCCTTTTCTCTTCACCTGTTTCAGACATTCCAGTTTCTCCTCTTTCTATCGTTTCAAGCACACCCCTCTCTTTTTCCCATCACTTTTCCCTCCTGGTTTTGGCTCCCTTTGCTCTTATCTCTCTTGTCATTTCTCTCATTTCCAATCATCCCCTCCATTCACACTCAAACACCTTCATCCCCCATTTCTCGTTTTAACTCTTCTCCCCTCCCTCCATCCGACTCTTTCGCTTGTCTAATATTTTTGCTATCCTTGGCCTGCAGGAAGCGAGACGGTCAGGCTCCGTCTAAAATAGTTACCCTGAAAGCAGATAAAAGGAGTGAAAAAAAAGAACAGCAGAAAAAAAAGAAAAGTTAAAAGGAGGGGAGGGAGGTAGTAAAGAAGGAGAAATCGACCCTCCCTCCCTGAGCGCAGATGCAAACATTCACTTTGCCTCTGTAGACAGAAACATCCGCTTCACCATCTCCCTTTCCTCTCTTAAGTTTTTTTTTTACTTCCTCCTTGCACTCCTGTCTCATCTCCTTTCCACAAGCAAGCATTTATCTTAGTCTATTTTTATACCTCTCTCTCTATCCATCCTTCTGAGTCTCTCTCTTTTTTGTCTCTTCTGAGCACAATCATTTACAGAGGAGTTTTTAAAAGCAGGGTCCGGGCTGAGTGCCTACAGCAAATAAGCAGCACCGCCCCTCGACCGTCATGTCAGGCTAGGCTAAGGTTTTCCCCTCTGTAACCTACAACCTTCAGGCAAGCAGAGATTGTTAATCAGAAAACCATCACAGAGCTAATTTTCTATCGGACCAAGTATGGCCTTTATAGAAAAACGTTGTTTTATGCATTGATCTTGTGGGTCTGGATGAGAAAGCATCACAGGTTTTAAATCCTCGAGGTGTTATTGGGTAATGATACTGTGATGTCAGAGAACTAACACGGTGTCCTTGAACCATGTTTTTAATTATTTCTACTGTGTTTTATTTAATGTTTCCTCTTCAGTTTGTGTCGTGAAACAGTCGGTTACGATAAAAAGTACAAATGCACTTTATAAGATGGACATGTTACACATTGCACTTGTAAATGTCGAATGTAAAACCTTGAAGAGAAAGATTTATTTTTACTATTGTACATAAATGAGAAGAGAAAGTAAAAAAAAGACTGCAAAAAAAGTGGAGATAATTTGCCAAATAAACTGAGAACAACAAAAGAAGAAAGTTATAACATCGTGTTTTTCTGTGTGCTGGAGTGGAGTCAATCCAGTGACGTCATGGTGTGTGTGTGTGTGTGTGCGTGACAGTATCTGCGTGTAGGTGTTATTACAAGTGCGTGGGGATTGTGAGTGTGTGTGACTCAATATCGCAGGTCACTGTAGTGTTAAGGAAAGCTTGGGCATAAAAAAAAGACGCTGCTGAATTATTAAACCACACCCTGCTTGCGTAACAGCAGAAAACTGAGAACTACAGAGTGAGAGGGTGGAAAAGGGAGAGAAGGAGAAGAAGGAAAGGAGAAGGATGGAGAATCCAATCAGAGGAGAGGACTACACGGCAGTGATGTCACGAACACGCTGATCCATATGACATTCACGTAAAGGAAAAGATGAAGCCAAGATGGAGAGAAGGAAAGGAAAGGTGCAAAAGATGGCTGATGGAGGAAGATAGTGTGTGTATGTATATGTGTGTGTGCAAGTTTATGTTTTTCTCTAGGGACAGATTGCCTCTTCACAAGGTTGACTGAGAGCACACACAAACACACACATTTATTATCCATGCATCCATGCATTATCCGTGCTGTAATGTATTCCCAAGGGACAACTATGTCTGTGTGTGTGTGTGTCTCCCAGTACCTTACCCTCACACACACCTGCATACACACACTAAAAGTACAGAGTCTTAATAAATAATTAACAATGCAAAGCAGGAGATTTCGGTGTGTGTGAGAGAATTTAACCTTTTATCAGTCAAATTTGCTATAATGTATGTCAATTAAAGTGTGAACTTATATACGTGTGAGTCAGAGTGTGAGACTAGTGTGTTTGATCGACTCCATGGCTCACCTCTATGTAGTCTCTACATGGAGGGGAAGAGCTCTACCATGTGGCCAGCGGTGAGTACTGCAAAGACAGGAGATGCAGGGAAAAGACGCAGAATCCACACACACACACCTCATTTCTTTTACGTCATCCCAGCAGATCTCTCAAAGCAAGCACGAAGCCAGCCCTCTCCCTTTTCCAACCTTACTGTCTCTATCTTCCTCGACCCACTCAGTCTCCATTCTCCTTACTCTCTCCCTCTCCATCTCTCTGAGTGAGAAGGCTCTCTCCACCATCTGCTGCATGATGCTGCAAATTACCTCTGTGTGTGCATGTGTTTGAGAGCAAAAAAAGAGCACAGAAGGTGGAGATATTCCTGCATCTGTTGTGTCTGACTCACTCACTCACACTCACACACACACACACACACACACGACTCATCACCCTGATCTAAAAGTTTTATGAACATGTGATTGA